CTTGCTAAGGTAATGAATTTCACTCGTTGATGATTCGATAGGAAAGTAGATAGTCAGCTGACAAGTAATTCATTCTGGGCTTCCGAAATTTTGGAAGACAAGAAAAATGAGGGCATATCAGGTGCAAATTTATCACTAAGCAATTTGAAAACTGTAATCAAGTCGCCTCTGATTCTTCGATATGACAGCGGGAAAAGGTTTAGCTTGGTTAATCTAGTATCATACGGGAGCTTCGCTATTCCGGGAATCAGCCTAGGTGCTGTTCTCTGAATCCTCACTGTCTTTTTTAGGCAGGGGCTAGCCGCTTGTATACAGTACTCAAGTTTAGGACGCGCGAATACTGTATACAAAGAGAAAAACGTTTTAGCATCGATATGACTAAAAGCCCTGCGTATGGACCATAAAGTTCTAAAACCTTTAGCGGCTATTGCACGGCAGTCTGCGGTAGTCTTTAAGTCTTGACTAACGATGACTCCTAAGTCATTGTGTGTCTGGACAATAGGTAGCTCAGTGTTATTCATCGTGTATGTATCTGTACCCTGATGGCCAATATGCATCACAATACAACTGGAGGAATTTATCGGCAATTGCCAAGTTTGGGACCATTCAGATAATTTCTCCAGGTCATTTTTTAGTTCTAAGCTATCACCCTTACTTTCTACCTCTCTCCATATCTTGACATCGTCAGCATAGAACTAGACTGGTGACGATAGTAGACGAGGGAGGTCATTTACGTACAAGAGGAATAACACTGGCCCCAAAACTGCACCCTGGGGACTCCACTAAGCACATTTTCCCGGCTAGACAACTTGGAGTTCACCCGTACTCTTTGTTGACGCCCAAATAGGAAGTATTTTATCCACGTCAATAGATTGTCACCAATCCCGACATTTATTAATTTATATGAAAGCCAGTTTTTCGGAACGTTGTCGAAAGCTTTTCTGAAGTCGATATAGGCTACGTCTACAGGTAACTTTAGTCCTCAAGAACGCACCAGCTTTCACGAGTGACTAATAAGTTGGTGAGGCAAGAATAACCTGTTCTAAAACCATTCTGCTTCTCCTAAAGGATCCGGTTTTCGTCGTAGTACCTAAACAGCTTCTTCCGAATAATCTTTTCTGAGATTTTAACAACTTCACTAGTTGGGCTGATGGGTCGGTAATTTTCATGCTTATGTTTTGTACCTTTTTTAAGGCAGGACCTACTATGGCGTTCTTCTAGTCTTTCGGTAAACGACCATGGATTACGGATATATTAAAACATATACTTAAAGGGTTCACAACAAAGTTGGCTAATTCCTTTAGTAACCTAGGGTGCAGTTCATCGGGTCTAGTGGATTTGCCTACGTCAAGCTTAATTAGCAGACCAAAGACATCAGGTTCTTTAAAGGTCACGCTGTCCAATGTTTGTGTGGAGGGATTTTCATGGACTGGTGGGAAGAGTGTTTCTATGGTATATACATTGCTAAAGTATTTAGAGAATACTCGAGCTTTGCCAAAGTCGTCCTCCACCAATGATGGGGCTGTACTGTCTCCCCATAGTGAAGGAACATTTCTTCTTTCTATCCTTTGGTTTATAGAGGAATACATGCGTTTAGGCATTCTATGGATTCCTCAACAATTTTCTCTTCGTACAGCTTTCTAGACTTGCCAAAGATCGAGGCACAAATATTACGGGCTTTTTGATGCTGATATTTTGCCTCATTATTCCTCAGTAACCTAGATCTATCCCACCTTTTCCTTCTTTTACAGAGAGGGATGCGAACTTCCATACTGAACCATGGCGGGGAATTTCTCGGCCCCCTAGGTGTAGTCCAAGGAATGCGGGGGTCGGTAACTTTTAAGTATACATTTCGAAATAGTCCCAAGCTGTTTCGATTGAGGATTCTGGGTCTATTATCCAGTCTTCTGACGATGATGAGTGAATGATGTCTTGTATGTTTGCTTTCCAGACGTTAAATCTAGATTGAGCTGACGCGTTCTCCTAATTGACAGATACATGGAAGTCAATGGTTAAAACTGCATGATCACTTTTACCTAGGGGTGGCCCGTAATCCAGGTTCGCAACGTCATCATCGTAGTGAGTCAATATAAGATCTAGTAAGGAGGATTTAGAGCTCGGGTCGTACCTAGTCGCTTCTTTTACATGTTGCACTAGGACACATGTGATAACTACATCAACTAGTTCCTGCTCGAAGGAATTATCTGACGATTCGGTTCGCGGATTTCCCCAGTCTACCATGGGTGCATTAAAGTCCCCTAGGATTAGACATCGACCACTTTGTGACCAAGTATTGAGACTGCTTGGCAGGACCTCATTTACCTCACAGCTTGGACTGCAATGGACCAAACCAATCAGCAGCTCTTGTCCCTTGCATTTCAAGCGGCAACTAATCAGTTCACACGTCCCACCCTCATGTGATACACTGTCGATAAAGGTGAATGGGATAGCATTCCTAATGAATGGGGCCAGTCCCCCTACTTTACGCTTTTGTATTTTGTCTGCCTTACCAATGTGAAACCTTCGAGGTCAAGTTCCCTACTATCTATAGACTGAGTCAGCCAAGTTGCTGTGACTGTGATTATTTCTGACTTAGTAAAGTCAATCTGTACACCTAGTTCCAATCGCTTATTGAGCAAACTCCGGGCATTGGTGTAACAGATCCGGAGACTATTTAAGTGGCCTCATGCTTCAGTCAGAGTGGCTTCGGCATCGTTCTCTGTCGAAGCCTCACAAACCGAAAATTTACATTTTTTAGATCTTTTTCACCAGCGTCTAATCTAATCTGTAGTTCTTTTTCGGATTCCCGTCTTTTTACACGGTCCGCCAGCGGTAATTCCTGAGAGAGAAAAACTCCTGAACCCTTTAATTTATGTCCATTTTGTAAATTTTTTTCATTTGGGGATTTGAATACTACTTTAAGCATACTGTATTGATCAGGCTTCAAATTCGCCAGGCTACCTGGTCTGTACACCTTTAGCAAGTTGAATCCGGAGATATTGTTAGGCATAACTTGATTGAGTAGCTGTTTTATTAACACAATGTCATGCTCAAAAAAAGCTTTCGCTTCACAGCTTTCGCTTTCTTTAATTCTATGAAAAATAACTGGTCTGTCGCTGTAATCTGTCTACGATTTCTCGACTACATTGATGGGGGCAGGATCCCTGTTACGTCCAATTATGAGTTTTGCCCGTTCCAACTATTGAAGTACTGGCCGTCGATATTCGCAAATTACGAACCCAAGTAGGCAAGAGAACCAAAACTCCAAATAAGATACCAAGTTTATTCGCAATTCACAAATAATCGACCAAAGTCGTTCTAACAACAATAATTATAACAATTACAAAACAAACCTTCAATTTTGTAGGTTCCCGGAGCAAAAACTCCCAAATTTCAAACCAATGACAAAAGAAACCAAAATGTCCGAAAGTAATGATATAAACAAACAAGTCCAAAGGTTAATTAAAACAAACACATCCAAAAAACACAGTAAATTTGATGTACAGTAAAAAGGTTTTAATCAGCCAAATGTCTTTAGTTCTCCCGTAACAATCCCCTTTTACGTCGTTATGTCGTTTTTTGTTTACAACCTGTACCCAATCGTTGACGTTAGCTGGAGTAGTGATCACAGACGCATCAGGCATACTATCAGATTCCTGAGGGTTGTCGACCACTTGGGAGTTCGGGTCATGTTTCGAGCTGGAAACCGACCGAGCTTTGTGATTGCGGCTTCTGGAAGTTTCCTGCTGGAAATTATTTTCAGAACGGAAGAAGAACGGAAGACAGAAGAAACTTCTTTCCTTGAGTTTTTGGTTGAACCGGACCTTTTTGGAGGCTGTCCTTCCTCCTTTGGACGATGTGAGTCAGCACTTTTCGGACTCACCTGTGCTTGCCTCACATCAATCTGCGTGTCGACAGATCGAGTTCTGTCCGACGTGTCCCGAACGCGCTTGCCGAGACACTTTTTCACAGCATTGACCATTGAGATTGCCTCGATTAACAAGCTATTTGCATCCATACAACACTGTTGACAGAGCCACACGCAACCATTCTTACTGAACCTTTTAAAAGCCACAGGTGTTGCATTTGTGCAGAACTCGTGGTACTGTATAACATCTACGTTGATGTTCTATGTCGTAATGATTGGAAGCCTACTAGAGTGAGACGAGAATGGTGACGAACCAACTAACGCTGAAGTCACACCTCGCGACCGGCTCTTACGTGGATTGAACTATCGACGCATAAAAGGATCATGGATGCTATGGAGACTATACAACACAAAGGACGTTATTACAAGAATATATTAGTTAAGGTACAACCACGATAGTACGGAAGTGAAACAACAACCACTGCCGCGTTGGCCAGTCCATGGCATATGATTGATTGATGAGCGTTGACTATCCTTGACCCTGACAGGCATCGGTGATCTGTTCGATATTCAGTGACATTTCACTGACCCTACAGTACCAGCCTTTGCACTCGTCGCAATGCATGCCGCTCTCAACGAGATATTGACAGCCTAGACGCTGGCAATCGCTTTTATTGCACTTTCCAGCCATTTGAGGTATATTTTTAAAAAAGAACTAGACCCAATAATACCCGAAAAAAGTGATATTTGATCAAAAAAGTGGTAAACTGCAAATAGTTAGGACCGAAGTACTAACAGACACAATAGAAAAAATAAATTACTCAAAAGTCCAGACGATAAACTACTTTAGAAACCGAAATGATACCCTTATCAAACACTTTAATGGAAAGAAATTCAATCGAAGTATAAACAGTAGTCTTGACACGTTATTAACGATCAAAATAATAGAATTTACTCCGCGGAGAAAAATACCTTTTTTAAACAACCAGACCCCTTTAGCAGCTGCTATTTTTATGTGTTTTGTGGTTTTCTAGCTCTACCAGCGTAAATTGAGAAATGCTACTGTATGTTCATTGTTTTATTTATCTAGTCCAATTGCCAAAGGCGCTTGGCGTGTTTTAGTACGCTACTGATGTCTTTTCAAAACCTCCAGACGTATGGTAGGTCTTACGACGTACCTATTACTTTCTGTGTTAAGACCCTTTTGCAGAAGAAGGAGAATCCAATGTTGAAGGTAGGATTGTTCATATTCGAATACAACAACGAAATGGCCGCAAAACACTTACTACTGTCCAAGGTATACCGGAGAAGTTTGACAAGCGAAAAATCTTGAAGTACTGCAAGAAACATTTCGCGTGTAACGGTACAGTAGTTGAACACGAAGAGTATGGGGAGGTGTTACAATTCCAAGGTGATCAGAGGGATAATCTGAAGTCTTTTTTGTGTGAGATGAACATAGTCACTCCTGAGGAAGTCAAGCTGCATGGATTTTAATTGCATGTTGACATTTCAATTTCGTGGTCATTTCAAAGAGTCACCACGTCTTCAGATACCGTCTACTCTTGCGTGAAAATATCATCTGTAAATTTTCTCGCATTCGTCTTTTCTGTTGCTCATATGTCAAGCTCTCATTTCGTTTGCTCATGAGTAACTCCTTCTATCTCTGAATATTTAAAGATGATAAAGTTTAATCATCTTATCAAAATACATTCGCCAAAATGGCATATGCTTCCCTTTTGAATTTGAAGTCTTGACCCTCCCCCATCATACATATCACGGTTGTTCACATTTCTTATTTTTAGATTTAGTTAACAACAACCAGTTTTCTATCCAGACTGTCAGCCAATGTGCTAGTTATAAATGTCCTTTCATCGGTGACTGGTAATCCCCGCGGACAGACGGGTCTGTTCCCCCTAGCTTGCGTTTCCAAACCGGAGGACATTTATGTTGAGCAACAATCCGCTGTCTGTGCCTATGAAACAGTTCATAATAGTAGGCTGCAAGCACTTAATCATGTCTTTAGAGCACTTTATATATCGTGGAACGATCAGTTGAACAATATAGGTCTGACAGTGTACTAGAAGTTATTAATCTTCATCAACGGTGTGTATCATCAATCCCTAATCGCCTATCCCGACACTAAGGTAGGAGTAATTTGGAAAAAAGTTGACGATAACAGACCATGATGTTCATCAGTACATCCAGTTATCGAATGTTGACTTAGAACACGTTGGTAGATAAAGACTACCTGGTTGGAGTTCATGGGATCAGCATTTGAAAACAGGTGACATGGTTAAGGATTGGTCACAAATGTGCCCACTTGAGGTCATAACTCTTATTATCCTTTCATGCACAATTTTTCATTACATCTCTTACCGTCCTCTCAGTTTTTAATTTTTTCCTTAATCATTGCTACTACAATTATGTCAACTTATTTGTTATCCCAGGGACTATTCTCCTCCCAGTGTAGCTCAATGAACTGACGTCAATAGCTTTATGAGAATGCATAAAACGCATCTTCTGGAATCCCTGAGTTACTTTAAAATTATGGCTGTCTAACTTTAGCACATAGCCGTCGGAGTCCTGTGAAGTTTTCGCTGTTATTGTTAACTAAACCTAGGTCCTCAGTATCATATGACGGGACCCATCTCTAAGTTGTTTGAGGTTTACTTAAACGTAGGTTCTACTATGGTCTGAAGTGAGTTCATAAAAATGCAAAATAGGTTATTATGATTAGCACCCAGATCCCCACGTAGAATACGTTATAGGTTCAAGTATATAGTGCACTCATTTGTACGGATTATCTCATGCTTTGACCAGCCACCTCAGCGTAGGGGGGTATATAGAGAAATATTCGCTTTCGGCTACATTGTCTGATAATCATAAAGGGACTTCCAAGGGTCAACATCAGAGTTTCAACTATAATTTTGCAACATAACAGTGTTGTGCTTTCGTACAACTTTGACATTTTAGTAGAGGTTGGTTCAAGCAGAGAATGAGAATATAATGACGATTGTCCTCACTAAAACTAACTTATTTCTTGGTCAGCAGTAACTTCTAATATAAGAGTGGACATTGTTTATCTTGTTGGATGTCAACTTTAATTCAGTGATGGATGTATCAACTACCAAACTGTGGTTCTGACAGAATTTCTAGTTCCAAACCATCCAACTGAGAGTATTAATAGTTTCTTACACCACAGTTACATGAATCAAAGTTCCACCGAAAATAGGGATGAAATCATCACTGCAATCTGTATGTTTCTCTACCAAGTCTCAACCACAATTAAACAACCATCCACACAATCGTAACAGTAGACCACATTATTGTTTGTTATTATTACTATAGAGGGTTATAATGGAATTCCTCCTGGGGAATATTGTTGGACCCCAGCTGCTCTTGCGTTCGAATACGTGTATGCATCCGCGTTAGTGGCTCTAGAGGAAGACTAAAACGCACTAACCAATAGATTTATTGATTCTTGACGTATGATATGTTAGAAGGTACTGGTTTGGCGCTTGCTATACCGTTTTAATTTTTGGTTGATAACCTTAGGTGACATGGCTCAAAATCTGTCTCAGTGACGTGAATGCATTCATTAATCTTTAGAACTGTACCTCCTACATCCGATTCATCAATACCATTGCCTCTTGTTCTGGCTGCATTGCTTTTCATGTTTGTAGACTGCTCTTACTGTACCGGTGTAGAGTATGCAGACTTGGGTCGAAGCATATTTTTGCCAGTAGTACATTGTTTATGACTGGCAGCTGATCAGCCAAATCCATTATACAAAAATACTAGTTAGAAAAGCTTAACAACAATATGGTTTCTAATTCATAGATAGTCTGATGTTAGTACATGAACAACCCTGAGGAGAAAGTTTAGATCAGCCAATGAGTCATGGCAATTCTACAAACTGACGTGATCTGAGAAATTCAAACGCATTAAGGAATGAAAGAAGCTTGTCTGTTAACTACCGAGGAGTGTATACAGTTATCTTCAATGGCAGTAGGTGGTGATTGCAAAATGTATGAATAGTATGTCAGTGTTAGCTAGAATGGGATTATTTTTCACATTTATCAAACATGTAGCTAGAATAGTGGACAGTTAGTGAAGGCATTATGAATAAAAATGAGTTAGTCTTCTACTCTACAACTAGGTGACTGGGACGGTTGGTAAGTTCTCGTTACCCACCCGAATTGACCATGGGCATTAAGTCCTCAATTCTTAACTTCAGTCGGAAAGAACTTAACTAGGTTGACCATAATGAATCACTCATGTAAAAATAATTGCCACAATTTTGAAGTTTGGACCTTTCCGATTATTGATAGTTTTGATGTAAAGGGTAAGATGTGAACCCTCATGTAATAACCTGACTAGAATGGGTTCGATTTATGTGGTTTTTGTGATCTCTTGACACCCAGTTGGAATTTGGAAACAAAAATCCAAACACATTTTTGGATATGGCTATGAATATACCAACCGGGTCCTTATTCTTCATCGTATTATACTAGACTGCCACGTCTAGTGATTTCCAACTGTAGTCGTATCCCTGTCTGTAGGTGACATTAATCATCGTACTCTACTGGAGGCCCCGTTATCGAAACCGTACTTCTGAGACAAGGGCTTCACGGACATCTATGTTTTAGTTATTAAAGTGACCTGGATATATTATAAGGTACAAATTACTTAGAGAAGCAAGATTAAGAAGACCTAAAGTGAGGAGTCATTATTTAGAACATAAGACTCAGGATACTGCCTGGCGTTTCCTTTCACAAAAGTCCAGACAGGATCTATGAATCACTAAGTGTTAGGATATGTACGTGGTAATGGAGATTTTCAGCTCCGGTGTATGTTCTTCGTGGTATTATGTTTTCTGACCTAGATGGCTCTATTGCAAAGTTTTCATTGTCATTCTGGATTACGCCTACTTCGTGTAAATGTTACGTACAAGACAACTTGGTTCTAAGCTTTGATTCTTTAATTAAATGAGTAGTGTAAAATCAAGTAAAACAATTAATGTATCCTCATTATTTGACCAATAAAATATAAAGTGGTCACTATGATCAATTAACTCTCATGAATGATATAAATATTCTTAATAGATGTCTCAACTAGAAATTCAGCTTAAAACTCTGAGCGAATAGTGTCCTGTAATAATTTAATATCATTAAACAAGGCTCATCAATTCCCTAAGTAAGATACATATTCGGTCTTAAAATAATTGGGATCAATTATGTGGAAATACATAAAAATATTTTTATAATAAATTGAAAGCATATCTCATGAATGATAACCAAACGATGTTATCAAATATGACGAAGTGTTTGTTAAAAAATAAAAAAAACCTACTACAAGTTAATAACTACAAAATAAGTGAAAACAATAAAATACTGTAATGCTATTTTAAATATTTCTTAATAGTCTGTTTATCAGCCTTTTAATGATTGCAATTGGTAGCAAAAGCATTAGTCTCTACTTTACTAGATCCAATTTCAGCAGTTTATTTTATAAATCTGAATCACACTGGCAGATTATAAGTAGAAGAATCCCTGTTTCAGTTAATCTATATTTCTGTAATCATACTTTATCCGTCTTAAGAGATGTAAGAGTTTGATGGTTATCGTTTTATTTGATCAAATTACCTTTATCACACAGTGATTTGTTTTCAGTAAAGTTTGGAATATGGCAAAATTTAAACATCACGTTGTGCTATAATTTAACATTATTATCCTACTTGGAAAGTCCTCGATATATCATTTACTTTGAAAAACCACTAGGAAATATTAAGTTAAATCGGTGACATGGTAATAGCATATCAGACTTCTATGTATTTCGTTTTACTAAACGACAAGATGTAATTTCGTAGCTAATAAGAGATCAAAAATTACATTGGTCACTTGACTGGAGGATTTACTTAATGTAGTTGACGATTCAAAATTTAGGAAACTGGTATCATTTCGTTCACTCTATTAACAGAAATTTTTACATGTTACTCAAGGCTGGTTCTATGATAAACCCTCAGATATTCTGACCCTACATAAATTGACTATGAAAAGTATTTATGAATATTTTTATTTGTAAACTAGATTATTCACATTTCTCGTATATCTACATTCATAAAATATCTTAGTTATGAAATAAATGCTTATATGAAAGATTTAAAGTATAGTAAATGCTTTAAATTTCCTTTATTCCACTGTTGATTGTTCTGATTTTACCAAAGCTTATCAATCGAAGGAATTAATTTTTTGAACTAATTTTAATCAAGTATTTTCGAGCATAAAATGTAATGAAGTTAAGCAAAATAATATATATGCTCAATATTATTATCTCTTTGTACATAAGTAATTAATATTAATAACCGAACATAATTGTGGTATTTGTACGAACTAATGATTCTTTTGCGCACTCGATGGCCGTCTGATGTCAAATTCTAAATACAATACGTTCATTTGTACTCAGTAAATTGCACTATTTCGAGAATTCCTAGTTAGTACAATAATTCGAATGCTTCCAATTATTATAATATTTCTCATAATAATTCTCAGTCATTAATTACAAATGGTGTATCTGTAACGTGTAAAAAAAACAAAAGCTATCGATTTAAATATCGAGTAGTTAAGAAATAGCTAAGGAAAAAAAGCACCATTTAACTTAATACAGTCTCTCAAATTTGTCTATCATACTCCATGTGATAGTTTACGTCATTTGTTCCTTCAATCAGTAATTCCAAATAAAGTATTGTCTTTTTTTCTGAATTACAATCTCTTCTGTTGAGATTTTTCAACCAAACCCCCCTCCCCAGATAAAAGATAGTTTAATTTGTTCTAAAACTCAAATTTTGTTACTTTTCTAAAAAATAGTCAAAGCAACTGAACGTTTTTTTCCTTTGCTTCTTTAGGTTATCTATTTATTACGTCTTACAGTTCAATAGTTCATTAACTAATATCTGTCACTTTATGATGCGAAATTTCATTCACAAATTCCAACACTGATAGAAAAAAAGGAAGTATAACATTCTTATAGTTATTTTTTTACAAATTAGCAATGTATTTTTTTAGTGATTATCCATCAAGTAGTTGCTTTTATAGTGTTTTCATGTAATTGAAATGGTAAGGTTTCTTTTGACCCATGAACTGTTCGTATGTCTTTTACATTTTTATGTGAATTCCAAGTCACTTAATTGTAAATGTCTTATCCAACGTTGTGTTAAATAATGTCTCAGATATGTACTCAGATCTATAAATCATAGTCTTATATCTTACGAATATAATCGCATAGGTTAATGGTCTCAACTATAACAGTGCTTATGGCCATTCTACTAGCTTTCTGAATGAAGCTTACCCAACGTTACCGATTACGTGACGATTACAGTAACGAAGTTAATGGCATAGAGAAAAATACAATAAGCACTATCAAATAAACAATTTCCCTTTAAAATTTATCTGGACATTAATTAGAGTTAGTTGAGAGTACTGGTTCTCAAAACATTTAGCAAATATTACTCCAAATTAGCTGATATTAAAAACTAACAGTATTTTGGTTCAAGATCTCAGCTAATCATCCTGTCGTTTTATGCATTTAAAATGACCTAGTGGAAATATTACAACTTGACCGATCGAAGTTGATCATCCCCAAGGACTAGAAAAACGTGATGAGCATACAGTGAAAAAACAAGTTGTTATATATTCCCTATCTTTTCATTCATTGTTCAATTCACAAAAGTTTATAGGTCCGATAAGTACTCATAAAGTTTTCATTAAATTTCAAATAATTAACTCATAGAATTAAATTGTACAGTGCCGACTTTAAAAGATCGGTTGTACGAAAGACAGTGAATATTAAAGTTAACTATACACATGTATTAAAGTTGAAACACGAGTACTGTTTAGTCTATACAATTCCATCCAATGGTCTTGAAAATAAAAAAATTGTGTCAATAAGTGTTATGACCGAATATTTTCGAACTTGGAGATTAGCAGATTCCATAATCACACTTAAAAATCTACTTAATTAGTACTGATAATATTATGACTTTAAAAATTAGAAAATATAGAATTAAACATTTCGAAGCAGAGAGAAATAAAACAAAAATGCTAAATTATCCATATAAATTTTAGAATGATATTCAGCTATTGTTATATCTAGAGCTTTGATTCTTGCTATGCCGCGTACTACTTGAACGATCGGACCCGCAACGTCGCATGAGAGAAGACTAGTAAGCCGGAATTTTATTCCCCAAACAGTGTCAAGTGTAGTACAAAAATCTCATGTATTTATAGTTTTTAGCTGAAAGTAAATCATCATTTCGGACAGCCAATAGGCACATAGTGGGTCCTTCTTATTCATCCAATAGTGAAGCTACACGTCGACATTCTAGAATGTTCCCCTTATGATGATTGAATGCAATGTATTCGGCTCTTTCTGGGCTTCTTGAGGCTTCCTTGAGTTTGCCAACGAGCCATCCTTACAGCTATATTTAAATGGTAATTCTGAGATAACAACAAACTTTATATTTTAGGAGTAATGTTACTTAAAAATTAACACATTTTGAACAAGTTCTTTTAGTTAGTGGAATGTGGAATGGAATGAATAAACGACAGCGTTATATACAATCTTTAAAATATTTAATGTTCACATAATGCTCAACATAGACTAGGTGACTGAAATGTTAGATATATTTGGTTCTGTATAAAACAAATTTTCTTATAAAATTCTATAGAGGTCTATTTCTACTTTATTTAATGTTAAGAAGCCCTAAAATTAAATTTTTGTTAGTCGGTAGTCATCAGCAAGATTAATCAGTATTATGGAATATTTTCTGCGTATAATTTACAATGGATCTCCAAAGACAAATTCATCTCTACAAAAATTAACTAGTAAACGATATTTTTTCTACAATTTCTTGTCATCATTTTGTATATTGTACTTAAAATCCATCTGCAGATAACTATGAAAGCTTTGAAGACTAAGAAACATCACACTCCACATTCTTTTGCGACAAATGATTTTCTAACAAGTTTTATTATTCACTTGTTACATTTCTAAATAAAACCAGTGGTAAGACGCAATGACTACGGGTTACATTAAATACTAAGGATCAGAATAAGTTGCGTTGGGGAATTTAGAGTAACAAATTATTATTCCGAAAAAAGATACCTAACCGATCTAAATAATAATGCCTATGGATTTTAAACAAAAGATAACTGATTCTCTCCTGATTAGTGTCAGTATGGTCCCTAATGAACAGCACCAACACAATTATCAGTTTTACAGAAGTAATAAATTTATTATATTATGATTGATTTTAGATTAATCAAAAACAAAAACTCCTTAACCTATGACAGAAAAGCATTCTAAACTTATTTCAGTTGTTTTGACACTGATGGATAGTTTTGCACCGAAGTTATCTCATGTCAGACGGTTAATGACAGAAATTATCAAGATGAGATTCTACGTAATAATGTATTGCATAGTATGTAATGAATAATAACACCACAATTTAGATTATATCTGATTCTTTTATTACAACACATTGTAGTTAAAACATTTTTGTCGTTCCAAGCTGTTGTCATGTAGAAAAGTTTGACTTTTAGACATTACTAATAAAATTGTCGTTAAAATATTTCAGTCAATAACAATATTATGAACATGGTACTTAAACGATTAAGTAGTAGCATATATAGGATAACTAAAATATAATCAAATCACTAAACCCAAATACACTTCATTAACCATTATCAGAGAAAAGCAAATATTTTAATAAGTCTTAGCCTGAACGTAGATACTAAGTTGGGATAACAGCACAGACAAAGTATCAATATGTTTTCTATCAACACACTAAAATATAGAGGCTTTCAACACAACTAACACTTTCATACATAATCATGATTGATAACAGTAGTAATTTATCAACTGGATAAGTGTAGTTGATCAGTTATCACTAACACCTTATCATTAGAGATTATTTGAATTGTCGTAATGTATCAAACCAATACTCATTCTATTTTTATCTCTGTTAGTCTGTGTCTGAATGTCAACTTCCTGAAGTTCATACATGAAAACGTTAATCCACAAATATAAGTTAACTCAAAAGGCCACCATTTAACATAAGAAAAGTTTCGAATTGTGAAATAAGTACTGAATCGGCAATCAAAATATCCGATTCATTTTTCCCATGGTTGATTCGTCCATTCAAACTGTAACGGGACTCCGGGTTTATATCTTGCATCTGAAGATTGTGAATGGCTGTCTCAGTGTCAGAAGGCAATTGAGTAGTCAGCAAATTAAGCAGTAGTTCAGGTGCTTTGACGTGCTTAAAACGTTTTTCAAACCCACGGTTAAACACTGAAATCCATATTTCAGAATATGTTCATTTGAGACTATGGTGTGACATGAGGTGATGAATGTAATTAAGTTTTGGGGAATATATTGAGTTTTTTCCCGAATACCATTTTCAAATATTTTAACGGTAAAATTCTACACGGAGTTTGAAGGTGGCTAACAGTGGAATCCAGAACCCACATTCCATCTTATTTGCAAGTTGTTAGACTGGTCAACAAAAAAATCAGTAACTGAATTAAAGAATATTTGCAGGATGTGAACACCAACACTGGGACACAGGTATATCCAATTGATGAGTACCAAACAGAACGAAACAAGTTCATTGAAGCCCGCTGTTGGCCAGAGTTCATAAATTTTGAAACGATGCGAAATATTTATCCCTCAGAATTATGATATTGGATTTATTTTGGTCTCTGAGCTGGTTGATTCGGCTATGATGCTTTCATCGTCCTTCATAACACTATCATCAAAGAAAAATTAGCCATTATCTGATTGTTTTCTTTTAAAGATTTTAACCGTTAAACCATCCTGTTCAGAGGCCATAACTCCAACAACCCATCTGTTTTAAAAAACCGAAACTATTTTCAAACTATTTTGCTTGATTATCTTGGTAAATGATTACAAATCTTTTCAGATAATTTAAAATTAAAGTAATAAAATGGTATATATTGTAGTTTGATGATTACGGTTAGAAAAGGAAATGTATAGGGAGATGATAAACCTATTACGTCACCGACACTAACATCAAACTGGTTCAAGAAATATACTGCCATATTATGTAATCATTTTAAAAAGAATTTATCGTGAAAATAAATCACTTCTGTGGCTTACATAATTAAAAACAAAGCAGGATAGAAACTTTCACCTGACCCATTAGAAGTTACATATTTTTAATATATACAAGGGTTTGTTCAAATTAACAAGATATTACATAACTAACCTATGGTTATGCAACTCCTTCATCAAACAGATTTTTAGTTTATGACTGAAATCTATCGAATAAAAGACATTTAACATCACTTTGCCAAATAAGTTGACTTATTTTTAGGAATGGTAGTTATGTCATTCGATTGATTGGAATGTACATAAATTATAAACACGTTTACTATCATGAACTAACCTACTAAATAACTATTGCTAACTGATAGTCTGGAGGTTAAGCGTTCGAGCATAAAACCGAAGGCCATGGGTTCGAGTCTCGAGGGTGGGATTATCAGTACGCACTTCTGAAGAGTCCCACATTAAGATGAAACGGGCTTCCAATGCTTCCAGGTTTTCAATGATGGTTTAAAATTGATCGGTTCATAACTTAAATGAAATTCAACAATCTCATTAACACCATTTTGAAAACTAATTCATAATATTCCACTACCTTTCATCTATTTTTTCTTCTTAAATCTAAGACAAAATGCCAAATTTCTATGGTAAGCATGATACTATTCAGAATTATAATGATTTTAGTCAATATTACTCATCTTGAAATTAAGTAAATGGTCTACTAATCACTATCTCAACTATTAAATGACTTGTATCATTATGAGATGTTATTTATATTCATGACGTTCTTATATGACATTATTAAAACTGAAGTATTAATCCATAGTTTTATTTTTGATAAACAGTTAACTATTCTATATTGTAGATTCATCTGTTTACAATTTATAAAAATGTAATTGATACAAGTTATTTGAAAGAATATTTTAACGGTTGAAATAGTTTCAATTGTCAAGTGAAAATACAAAAAACGATAATACCAATTCAATATTTCACTTACTCACTTACTTACACCTGTTCCTCGTCGTCGAGGTACATAGATTGCCTTCAATATTTTACATTATTTTAAAGTCATTGAAATTTGTTAGCTAACTAAATAAACATACAAATTGTATTGAGAAAAAGTAGTAGGCGTATAATAAATAAATAAATACATTAATTAATTAACAAAAGATTGAAACTGTTAATCATAAAAATATGAATGATAAATATGAAACAAAAAAGTAATTTGAAGGTATTTTACATTGATGAATTTCTTTGTATCATTCCACAACCTATGGGAATGAATCAGTGTTATATCCCGTTGAGAATTATGAATGGTAACCT